TAATAACTCGATATGAGTTGTCCCCCTTTCATTCTGGCGACAGAATTGTGTTTTATTGTGTTTTCAAATTTATTTCGTGCAAAAACAATTGTGTTTTTCCAATTTTTGGTGCTGTCAGAACCACCGCAAGATAATTTTATGCAGTCCTGTGAAGTTTTGTTGAAATCGGTTGAAAAATGTAGAAAATCCAGTCCAATATATAAACGTACAGACACACACAATCTTCGTTTTATAATAAGTAAGATATATATATATATATATATATATATATATATATATATATATATATATATATATATGTTGAGATGTTTAAAAATAATAATTAATAACCGTTTTGCGACCTACCTTAGAGATAAGCAAATTACATTATTTAATTAACGAAGATAAATCCATAAAACATTTGAACTGTATTTACACACTATGTTCATAAAAGAAAATACTTGTACAAATGGAAGGAAAATGGAATGAAAATCTTTATCGCTGTATCCTGCCAGTCGTATTCATTGAAACGTATTCATAAAAAGGGCTTTGCTGCCCAAATACACAACAGCAAAATTGGCCAAATCATGTAACAGAAAAACTTTCAATTGTCAGATTAAGATATGAATTGTTGTATCTTAGAAATGATTAAAGATATCCTTCTGGAAATCTCCGAGGTTTTTATAAAACTACTGACCTCTATATTGAGCAATAAGTGTGTATAATTACTCTCCGAACTTAACAGCTTAATGATGTAAACGATCATAAACGAAAATTATATGTTTATCATTAATTAATTATAGCAATGGGTCAGAAGCTCATGAAGAATTGAAATAAAGTTCAAATACATATATAAATGTTTCCAGGATCATTTTCCAACTTATTCAAGATGATCTTCGCCCTCTCTAACGTTGTAACTTTCTGTCCTGGAATAACAAGGTGCCTCACACGTTTCACGTACGATTTCATTTTCTCTTTTCAATGCTCTTTGGACTGTCATAGCTGAAAATTTTCTCTCACGTGACAAACATTTTATGGAGTGAGTTGGATATTTTCTAATTGATTTCTTTAGCTCTAACTTGAAATGATGATCCCTCTTCCTGTTGTGACCTCCTAGTCCAGTGTTCCTCTCTACTGTTCAATTTTTTAAAAATTATTCACCGTTCTCTTGACGGTTCTTGAGGGGACTTTGTAGATGGAAGCATTATTGAAGGCCTGAATGATGTTTTTTGTCTCTCAGCATTGCTCATTTGGGAAGACTGTGACACAAAATGATTTAAAGTTGTTCTCTTTCTAGCTGAATATCTCAAAACTCTTTTTCAGTGTTTTTTATGACAAATGGTGTCAAGATGGCTTAACGTCTTTTCTGAAAACCCGGAAAAAAGAGATACAATTATTTTTGTGATTTTTAGATATTAAACGTTTTATGGAATGAAAATTATGCTGTTACACGATTTGGACAATATATATATTGTGTCAAAATGATATCCGGGTACGCTGGATCAACTTCAAATTGATACCTTCAAGAAAGGAATCATCCATTCACCTCCCATCAGCTATGAATTTGAATAGCAGAGCAAATTGGTCCATCTTCTCCTAACTGAGCATTTTAAAAGTATAAATCTGAATTGGAAGCCCAGCCAGTACATCAAGTGACTGGGAAAAGTTCATTACGCTAATAGATTGGGAATAGTCTGGCTTTGAGATGGACATAAAAATGACTTAATTACGTATCTATCTATCTATCTATCTATCTATCTATCTATCTATCTATCTATCTAAGTGGGCACTGAGGTCAATACCAAATGACGACATTCTATTTCATGTTTGAACGTAATCTTCATGACATCCAGATTCTTAGCCTAAGGCAAACTGTCAGACATGAAGCAGACCGTCGCCATTCGGTGTTGTCGTCGGTGTCCACTTTTACATTTCCACAAACAAAATAGAAATAAATCCCATTTATCCATTTTAATGGGTGAAAAAGTATTTGTACAATACAAAAAAGTATAGACAATCTTCATTTAATACTTTTAGTTGGTATTTTGTTCCATTCTTCTTCGCATATGATCTGCAGATCCGGGATGTTTGTTGGAGCTTTCGATTGGATTGTATAAGCCTAAACAGTCTGTTTCATGCTTATAAGCAATCGTCTTGACGAATGAATATAAGAATGAAAGACACTCCGGGTGTCGACCTCAATGTCCACTTTCATATATATATATATATATATATATATATATATATATATATAAATGAAGGGTTAACTATTTTCACATAGCTGGGACACTAACAGTTGATATCACTCCGGGTCAGGACTGACCTGGGAACAGCAGCAATTAAGATGTGGTTCCACACTCCACAAATCCTCCTGCTCAGAGAGGCCTATCAGCCAGTGCTACTTTCGGTTGTAATTTATAAAATCTTTCTATTAGACGAATTCTTCTGGAAAATAAGTTTTTCAAGACCCATAATTGTTATCACGCTTTCTGATATTTACGAAGGCTTCCTTCCTGGGCTCACGGCCACATCACATTGAAACACCAGTTCCCGTACGATCACCGAAGTTAAGCAACATCAAGTCTGGTCAGTACCTAGATGTGTGTCTGCATGAGAATACCAGGTGCTGTAACTATGGATGTGCAAGTGATGTAATTGATAACGGCACGGAATTGTTAATCGGAGAATCGAGTTCAAATTCCCGTTGAGTTTGTTCTATTCACTTACGATTCAAATATCCTTGGCAAAGGTGTGAATCCACCTCTTCCTCCTCCCCCGGCTATGAGTTAATTATTAAGAATTATATCACTAAAATCATTATTATCTAAAACATGAATTCTTACAATCTAAAAATATTTTCTGGGTTTGATGGTTTATAAGCCGTAGAAAACGAATCAATCAATCAAGAAATCTTCCTTCCTAAGGGGTGCTCCAGGCCAATATTTTGGTAGAGTTTGTACTTGCGATTGTCTGTAACCGTCGAGAAAGTGACTGAAACATTTGGTCGCTGCTAAAATACTTAATTTTCATAGTATAAATAGAGACGAGACAATTTCAATAATACAAAGCTTTACACATGGAAAACAAAATTAATAATTAAAAAAAAATAATAAAGAAATAGGATAATCACTCTAACAGTATAGATATTGACATACCAAGTCTAATAGTTAGGTAGCCAGATTTGTTGACCCTTAAACCCTATTCTAATTTTTAATGCGTATGCTATTGCTTTTGAAATTAATACTTGCAGAAATTTTTTTCATAAGATTTAACCTTCTTTGCAAACAAGTTGAAAATCCTCTCTGATAATTCCACATAAATTCAAGTGCCATACGTGATAGACGCTTAAGCGATCATGTATCTTTCAATTCATAACTGATTAAGCAAATTTTCCTACAGTAGGTTGCCGTTTCTTATTTACGGTAAACTGGTTGCCAACCACAATTAGAGGATTCTATTTATTCTGCTATCTATTTGCGTCTTGTAAGCATTTAAATGGTTTGGGTATTGGTAAATCTTGGTCGTTTCTGTTTGAGTCTGTAAGCTTTTACATGCTTCATGGATAAGTAAATATTAGTCGTTTCTATTGGAGTTACGCGCAAATACACTATAGGAAGGTGGGAATCTCTCTCTTCTCTTCCCAAGCTATGGATTGGATATTAGGACAGACTGGGTTCTCTAGCCTTGGTTTGTAACCAGTCTACCGTAGAAAGAAATGACAACGGACTGCGGTAAAATCTACCAAGTGAGCCATGAATCTTAAAAGACATGATCGCCCAAATGTGTATCACGTATGACACTTGACTGCCTCTAATCATTTACCTTTTAATGAATAGATAAATATTGATTGTTTATAAGTGAGCCTTCATAAGTAAAGACTTTGTGTGTGTATATATATTTTACTTTACAGGGGATACAATCGGGGTTTCCTAGCTCCTGCTAACAGGTTAGATTGACTTGGTATGCTGTTAAATTTTAATTACTGGAGTTTTTTGCAACACGCTAACGCATGATGAAATCCTCACAGTATTTAGTATAGAAGTTATTGCTAACATTTTTCTCGAGATTTACAAACTCAACGTTTCATTCAATTTCGCAAATAAGTCAATGAAATTTGAATAAACTGATTTGTTTGGAAAGAGATTTTGACAAAAAATCTACCTCGCGGTTTTTACGCACCCTAGTAAAACCAACTGTAGCTTGTATTCCCTTACGTGTTCCCACTTTTGTCTAAAATTTGGTTTCGATCGGCCAATGTGTATGGCTATTTTAGAGGGTGTGACGGACGGACAGACGGAAGTCACATAATTATATATATATATATATATATATATATATATATATATATATATATATATATATATATATATATATATTCGCAGACAGAACTGATTCACAGTATCACAGCTCCACAGTGCGACTAGACATCCAAAACCCGACCGATTTGGTGCCATTCGGAGCTTCTACTCCTAAGCCATCAGCAGTCGGCAGAGAGAAACTGCTACTTCTAGCGTACTGTTTTTACGAATGTAAACAAACGCCAGTCAGCCAGAGTGCTCGTATTCATTTAACCGAAGATCTTTCTTTGTTTTAGCGTAGGCGGCTGCTGTTTTTAGAATTAGGCTGTCTCTCAAGAGTGCTCAATTGAAATATATTATCAAGATCTTAATTATAATATAATAATTAGATAGATAGATAGATAGATAGATAGATAGATAGATAGATAGATAGATATTTGTTATTTTTATCATTAAATTGTTTTTATAATAGTGGGAATATTTTATATGTTAAATAATAAATTTTTCAATTTTTCAAAAAATTTATTGTATTATGCTACGCACCCTAATGAAACCAACGGTACTTTGTACCTCCTTACCTGTTTGAAGTTCTCCACAAAATTTGATTCCAATCAGTCAATATATGGCTATTTTAGAGGATGTGACAGAAGAACAGACTGGCTAACGGAAGTCATATAATTTTATATATCGATTAAAATTGTGACTGACGATTTTATAAACTTATATAACAGGAGGTAGAGTTTGATTTCGGTTATTTTTAATTTCTTCCACTTTTCTAAAACTATCTTATTCTTCCGTAAGAGACAATTGTTTCTTAACCATTTACTCAACAGAAAGTATATTATTATACGCTTTATTGACCTGACCAGAGTATTCAACTTGGTCTTTATGTTTCCGCGTTTCGGCTTCCCCCACCCCTCTGACCCACTTCAGGTGTCTGCCAGAGTACACGATAACTTTCTCAGAATTCTGAAAGAAGCTCTTTATTCTAGCCACAAGATTAGATTTTGTCGAATACTTAGGCGTTATTTCATATCAGTTGATACTCAGCTCGCTTATCTTGCGCCCGTTTCTCCCACTGAACAAGAGTATGTGACTAACAGAACCAGGGATTAACAGAACCAGGGATTAACAGAACCAGGGATTAAACATTAGGAAATCGGCCTAAAACCAATATACCCCGGTAAATTAAGTAAAGTGTTCATTTAAAAATTTCGAGGTAAGTCACCTGAAGATTCCGGAGAGTACAGCATTCGAAACATCACGAAACTGAGATGAGCATGTTGGTCCGAAAAATAAAGCATATAATAATGATAATTCCTCATCCGAAAGATTTCAACATCATTTTGAAAGAATATTGGTAAATGATCTTCATTATTCTGTTATGCTATAAACAAAATGTATCAGAATGTCAGTAACGGTCAAGAAAAGATACGAGATACGAATTGGAGTCGTCAAAATCAGGCAAATACAGAAAACTACCAGAGAAGAGTTTTAGCAAAAGACGGAAAAGGAGGAGACACGAGGCAACAGAAACATTGTTCATTCGAAAGATACTGAGAATACTATGCACGAAGAATGTGGGCAATGAGGAAGTTTTAAGGAAAATTAAAACAGGACGCTGATAATTAGAATTAAAATAGTTGAAATTCCTGGGGTATATAATGATGAAAGAGGGCTTGGTGAATTTGATACTCACGGGACGTAGTGATGGCAATTTGGGCACCCAGAAACATCTAATGATCTTGCGTAATTGTATAGCAGAACATTTGTTGGTGTGTAGAGTAATGGAGACAAATATTGATTGGAGATACAAAGGATAGGAAATTTTGGAGAGCTACGATCTTCCAGGCCCTGGAGGGACACAGCACAGAAAAAAAGCTCCTTAACTTTTTGAGCCCTGACCACCGCTTTACCGGTGGTAGAGAAAAAAGACTTAATGCCCAGCCATCGGTTGAACGGTGGTGTATTTTGCTATTCTTTTGCATCAAGAGAAGCAGCACTTGCTGAGTAGACTGGTACAGGGAGAAATAATTCTGCTGATAAAGTGAAGGCATTCAATCATACTCTCTCCCTGCTAAGTACAATGCTTTTATTTTTTGTAACTATTTTTATATCTACCTTAAAACATTACATAGCAATTATTTGTGAATGTTGGCTCAGAAGCTCAGGTAGAATGCTTAAAATTGTTCAAAGGGCTCAAAGAATTAAAGGTTAGTAATCGATCTTTGCTTATGTACATTATAACAGGAACAATGTTTTTCCCGATCCTAACTTACGAAACTCGGGAAAGGCTGTGAAAGAGAATGACAGTAAATGGCACTCTAATAATCTAATGGGTCGTGGGGATCATCTACATCTAAGCATCTTCATTTCAACAACAATGAAAAACTTTCAACAAGTTTTTCATTGTTGTTGAAATGAAAGTGGATCCAACGAATGACTAGGCTAATTTAATTCTATCCTTTTGAATCAGGACTGGTTTAACCATTAAGTAGAATAAACATATGCTTAGGGAGCCATCTTTCTTTTGAACATATGATGCCTTATCGTGGCCAAATAGTCTGAATAAACAGTGAAAAAAATATCCTATTTTGTTTGGGGTCCGAGAAGAATAAATAAAAAAAGGTTTCCGTTTTAGTTTTTCAAAGGCAGATTGCCGAACAGAAATCGACTTTATTTACTACGCTTTCAAGAACATTCCTTAACGTTCGAAATTGTATAAGTTTTCTCTTGCTTCACAATTTTCAGTCTGGCTCCTGCCGTATCTGCGAGATACATTTGACAGACGACCATTACGCAGTGTTAATAAGCCAATATGCGTCGTATGACAAGATTAGTTGCCATCCGCCTTGCGTGGCATGTTTTTTTTTGGGGGGGGGGGCAGCATTTACATAAATTAGTCTAATGAAGCAGCATATAAAATTAGCTGTGCCAGGGTTACGCAAATAGTCAGTTACAGTTCAGGGATCTTTTTCCTGGTCCATGCTTAGAATATTGCTGTCACATATGGTCCGGTGCCCCTGCTATTTAACTTGAGGTCCTTAATAAAATCTAAAGAAGAATCAGCAATACTACTGGGTCTAATCTGTCGTCACGGCTTCAGTCACTCTACCACAACCTATTTCTATAAATACTTTCATGGTAATTGTTCAGATGAGTTCATCGCTATGGTACCTAGACTTTTTTAATTTAAGCGCAGTACTAGAATGGCAATGAGGTCTCATCAATTTATAACTGAGATAGCTAGCTGTTGCCGTAAGTTTTATGCTAAATTTCTTTTCTCGCACTTTTCACTCGTGGAACTCCCTTTTGTCTACATGCTTTCCAGCC